GCCACTTCCGCCTCTGCGCGGCGCCGCCCGCTGCTCCGCCGACACGGGCCGGGCGGCTGGGCCCCGCGGGGAGCCGGGCCCCGCGCGGGCGGAGGGGGGTTAACGGAAAAGCGGAAAAAACCCCGGCCAAGCCCAAAACAGAGCCCGTTGCAGCGCGAGCGGTAGTCCGCTTTCCGCGAATATCTTCTGCGTTTCTTGTGCTGCCCCAAAAACCAGCGCCGAGAGCTGGGTTTCGGCCCGTGTTACTTCCACCCGAAGCCGCCGGCCCGGCCCGGCGGCGGGGAAGGATGCTGTTCGCTGAGGAGGTCTGCGCGGTTCTCGCCGTGCCTTGACGCCTCCAGGTCTCCACAGCACAAGGCGGCTGGTGGCTCCGGCAGCAGCTGAATGCCCACCCAGCTTCGGTCACTTGGTCGCTCTCGTAGGTGAGGCTATCTAAGATGGTCAGAAATTACTCTGTTCAGACAGTTCATGAGCCGCCCACCGCCTGGGACTGGGTGCGTGTCCCTGGTCCGCTAAGGATGCGGGAAAGCGGGGTTGCTTGAAGCCCCTGCGTAGCTTGTGGCTGGCGGCACTGCAAGGCTGGTGGGTCCTGGCCAGCACTGTCAGCTTTCCCCCCTGACTCCGCTAACGAGGGTGAACGGTGAAAACAAAGGTTGGTTGGGCTAGTAATTACTGAGAAGCAGAGGAGTTCACCTCTTAACACCCTCCCTTCCCCGGACCTCATTTTGAAAAGCTGTCCTAGGATAATTTGAGGAACGCAGTAACTGCAGCATCTGTGACAGCATCCAGGGGTGTCCGTTTGTTCAGGAGGGGAGAGGGATTAATGATGTGGAGTTCCCTTCTCCAGGCAATTCCAGCAGGCTTGACGGGATACCGCTGTTCAAGAGCGCAGTGGGCGAAGGAGGAAAGCTCCCAAAAGAGACGAGCAGGAGTCTGGTGCCGTTTGTGAGAACAACACTGATGGAGGGGACCTCTGGGACTCTGCTTAGCAAAAGCAGAGCGGCGTGATAGTGAGCTCTGCAAGCAGGTAGGGACACCTGGGCTGGTCCTTTGGTCTCCTGCAGGAGGGGTAAGATGATGGTGTCAATATAGCTGCTGAATTTTGCTGGGTGTTCTGGTTTAGTCCTTCCTGCAGTAACACCTGAATGATCTCCCACCTCTCTCTGAGCCAGGTGAGGCTGTTTTAACTCCACTGTGCTCCTTTGACAAACTGAATGAACAGGTAGAGAGAGTAAAGCAGCTTTTCCTGAGCCATGAGAGGTTCTGTGGCAAGCAAAGCAAGGAGCTGGATTTAGGTCTCCGTCGCTCAACCTCAGGTAGCAGCCTCCTGCCCAGGCTGCATTTGTCCTGCATGGATGTCCTCCCGCAAGCAGAGGGGTAACAGCAGCTCCCTTGTTTGTCCCCAGCTGGCGAGAAGCTGGCATGGCCCCGGGGCCAGATTTTGTGCCCACATGCTAGCTGCTGTCACTCTGCCTTGGCAATCAGGTTGTGCAAACTCTCTGGGGAACTGAACTTCAAACAACAGTGGAAAGCATTATAAAAGATTTTTTTTTAATATACATATATATATGAAATACATATATATTAAAATACATATCTATTTAATACTATTTTACAACGACAATATTTTAACAATATAATTTGTTTGCCAAAGGAAAAACATAATTGAAATAAATCCCTGAAAGGGTTAATCCGGGCTGGCTCTCCTCGGTGCTGTGGTTCACAGGGTCAGGGCCTGGGGGGCAGGCAGCACCCACAGTCCCCTTCAGGGTCAGCAGGCCTGGTGGTGCCAGCGCTTCTGGAAACCAGGCATTTACTTGCTGACAGTTTAGGAAGCGACTTGTGAGTTCATACATTTAAGGGTTAATGCGGTTAAATGAGCCTAGATGTCCCAACCTTCCCCTACAAAAACCAAGCCTGAAGCAGTGCTGGCTCCCAGAGCCAGGCGGGAACCACAGGGTGAGTTGCTGTGGGGACCATTACCCACCCATGTCCCATAAACATTTTCTCCTTGAAGCTAATCCGTTCGCTTTATACTGAGGGAATAAAAACCAGAAAGGGTAGCCGAGACCCGAGTTCTCTTCTGCTAACCCTTGCTGAGTGCATGTTTTCAGGGAGCAAAGTGCTCGATAAGCACTTGGAGTTTCACCCTGTTGTCTCCCACTTGTGAAGTAAAGATGCCAGTGAGGGGAGAGGCTGCGGCTCAGCAGGGCTCAGCTGGCACAAGATTTGGGTCTCGGGCATCAACAGTGTGTCTGCTTGGGGAACGTGCGGCGGGGGTAGGACAGGGGCAGCTTCAGGGAAGCGGAGTGTTGGGTTACTGGGGGGTGACACCCGACACACGGGTGCTGAAGGAGGAGGAAGACAGGGCTATTAATCTGTTTGTTCCCATAAAGGATAGCGCAGCATCCTGGCTCCCACCCCGTGGGCAGGGAAGGCGCCTCTCTCTCAGCTGTTATTTTTGGCATCTCCTCCTCTGCTCCTCCCTCTGGGGCGCAGCCGGTGCTGGGAGCCGCAGGCAGGGAGTGCAGGGGAAGACGGGCTCCGCCGCGAGAGGTACGCTGCACCCCTGCCCAGACTGCCTGGCGGGGCCTACGCGGGGCTGGAGGGGATGCCATGGCGGGGGGCTTCCCCGTGTCGCTCGGCTCGCAGGGAGAGCGGCGGCCAGGCCCAAGCGCCGTGGGCGTCTCGCCCGAGCTCAGCACCGCCCGTTCCTGTTTGGGCTGCCGGCCACTCTCCCCCAGCCAGCGGCTGCCTGGCTTCCTTGGGGCCTGCGACACCGAGGGCTGACGAAGCTCGGTGCGGCAGCCGGCAGCACCCCTTCCGTCATGTGGCTAGTAAAGCGGGGAGATCCTTCATGGCTCACGAGATCCGGTCCGAACCTGGCTGTCCTCGCCAGGGCAGGCACCCAAGGTGGACCCAAGCCAACCCGCAGTGTTCACAGACCACAAACCGTGCTCCTTGGTGACTCAAAGCCATTCAGTTACTCAAAGTAACACCAATAATTTTGCCTTTCTGCCTGCCTTCCTGCTCTCAGGCTGTGTTTTTAAGTTTTTTTCCAAGCAATCACCATGGCTAGAAATGCAGTCTTGCTTTCTAAGTGATTCAAGGTCCTTTTTACATGGCTCCAAGGGCTTGAGCTTTCAGGAAAAATACCAAAAGGAAAATGAAAGGAGCTGAACACGTGAGATTTCATGTAGGGCAAAGAGCAGTTTAACATTTTGTCAAACATGTATTAGAGACTGTACTAAAAGCAGCTAAAAGTAGAAAAGCAGGGTCTGAGCCATCAAGGTGCTTGTCAGAGAAAAATGACAAAAGATAGCAAGTTCCCAGGAAGGAAGCAGGACTGTATCACTTGGCTGTTCTAGCTCGGGGCTGGGTGGAACAGGGGTTGTCGCTGATATGATGGTAGATAAGATAGTATAGCTGCTATGCTACTGCCACCTCGCACTCAAAATAATGAGTCACGCTTCAAAGCAGCGTATTCTAGAAAAACGTGCAATTGTGTTCCCCTCTGCCTTATGCTTTTTGCATCGCTACTCCATACTTGCTTCATGTTTTTCAACTCTTTCCCTACTTAGGATATCTAGAAGTGCAGGTTCTCATTTAGATGAAACCTGCAATGCTGAGGTAATGCTGTGACTCCAGGACCTGGGGCTTCAAAAGCAAGAGAGCATGCCATGAAATTCAGAGTGAGATTGCAAGACTTGGCCCATGCTCCAGTGCTAGCCTAGGAAGGGGAATGTTTGCATTTAAAAATCCCTCACTTCTCTCTTCAAGGGTTGAAAAAAAAAAAGTCATGTTGGTAGTTTTATTTGTGCAGAAATCTAGAAGATGGATAAAACACTTTTTGGAAGATGATGAATCAAAAAGTTAGGTAATGGTCTGATGCTAAGAACCTCAGCCTTCTTCCCAGGCATTTATTCTTTTGCATTATAGTTCACATGAAAGGTTAATCAAAATATTCTTTTCCGTTTTTAAGTCAAACATGTATAAATGCAATTTCTGAGAACTGGAGTCACAATAATAAAACAGTTTTTTCAAACTGTCACGTCTCATCACAGACAAGAACCACTGTGATTAAGCTACCATTTTTTTACTATAGGCCTTCTGTTTCACTATCAGTAAAAAATAGATATGTGGGACTGTTTTCTGTGCAGAGCTTCTGCTTGCAAAGAGGTTTTTTTTCCCCCACAGTTTGAGAAATCCGTCTCAGCTTTTTGAATACCAGTGCAGCAGTACTAGAAAATTCCCTTGCATTTTTATTACTCAGAGTAGCAAAACCTCACTGCAGGAAAAAAGGCTTTTTTTCCCCCCAAGCTTTGATCTGGCATCTTTAACTCTTGAAAAGTATCATCCAGCTTCTTAGGACTGATTGAAAAAATTTCAAAAAATTGAAAAAACAGGTTTTCCTCATTTTTGTGTTCAGTTTCAAAATTTGGTGAAAGTTCAAGTTTGAAAAAGATGTTGACCTCCTCTGTGATCCAGTTGCATTGGTTTGATTTGTTAAATAACTCCTGATGTGTGTCTCTCTCTTTTTTTTGTTTTGTTTTGTTTTTCTGAACAGGGACTTTGGAGAATTAATTGCAGTTTTGGAAGTTTTTCCCATTTTTAAACCTGACTCAATTGGCAAAATGCCTGCACCAGTTCCAGAACTGTGGAACTACATCCCAGAAGAAATCCTCATCCAAATTTTCTATTATCTTTCTCTTCAAGATAGATACACGGTCTTCCAAGTGTGCAGACAGTGGGCTACAGCTGTTTCTTCTAGCTCTGTTTGGCATTTCACAGAGATCAGGTAAGAGGAGCGTGTTTCTCATGTCCGATCATCTCTGCAGGCATAACTAGCTCATTATGTTTTCAGTGCCTGTCAAACACTTACACCACCCTACTGTGACATTGTTGACATTAATTGTGATTTCTGTGTGTGATGGTATTATCTTACATGACTAGGACCTTTTTATATAATAGAGAAAATTGTGTTGTATGCTGGAGTTTTTTAATGGCTGCTGCCGACTTGGGTTTTATGGAAAGTATTATATTCTTAGTACATTGCTCTAAGTTGTCATTTGAAAATAGCAAGAGATAGTTACTAACTAGTCAACTTCATCATGACACTTACTTCTCTGGTGAGTCTTTCTGGGGACTGACTCTTCTCACCTCCTGACTCCTTCAGTGTTTGGCCTTACAGTGACTCTCCAGGCATCAACTGAGAAGAAATGTCTGGGGAATCTGTTGATGTTTGCAGAAGCACTAGTAAAGGAGCGTATCTGCTCTGTGCTTGCTCAGCTCAGCATTCACAGTGACTAAGAGTTTTTTTTACCCTTCCAGCTGTGATTCAGAGGATGAGGAAGGCATGCTGCAGAGCCTGCTCCAGTTTCTCAGCCAAATCAAACACCTGAAAATTGTGTTTGACCAGTCCAAGGAGGTCAACCGGAAGAATGTGACACGCATCTTGGATATTTTGGCAAAACAGAACCACAAGCTGCAGCAGCTATGCATTGTGTGCCATGGGGAGAATCCCTATTTCTACTCTGGCCAGGACATCCTACAGAGCATACGGAATATATGTGATGCTAAAAACCAGATAGATCTTCAGCATATTGATTTTCGAAAAATGCCCTTCACTCTCGATGGTGAGCTTGTCGAACTCTTAGCTACCACCAACCCAAACTTGCACAGTTTGTTCATCAACAACCGCACCCTGGTATGCAACGTGGCACCAGACACCATTAGGAAGGTTCTCAGAGCGTGTCCCAAGCTCTCAGCCTTGGGGGTTTATTATGCAAGTTTGTCTGACGATGTATTTCAGGAACTGCTCAAGCCCGAAAGAGCAGCTTTTACCCATTTAGACATTTTCTGTGAGCGCCTGGACAAATATATACCGGTCATCTCAGAAGAGCTCTGGGCTGCTGTAAGTCAAAAGCATCCTCAACTCTGTGTAGACCTAGAGTTTGATCATACGGTCCCTGCCTGCAAAATACCGCGGATTCTAAAGCTGAATATACCTGTGAGCACGCTGCAACTTAATACCTATAATTACATGGTCAGTCAGATTAGGTTTGTCACCCAGAGCTACAGCAGTACTTTAAAGAAGCTGACACTGCAAACCACATCCTCGGAGGACTTAAATTCCTCGCTAGTAGATCTGGCTAGGCATTGCAGAAATCTGTTGGAGATCCACTGCTACTGTGTGGTCAGCCAGGAGGTGGTAGAAGCGTTCCTCACACACTGCCCCAGTCTGAAACAATACACTCTGAAGGTCACAAAGGAACGGCACCCCTGGAAACCAGTAACAGTCCAGTGACCAGCTCCTACTGACTTCCTGGGGAAATCGTGGGGATCTGCAAGAGGACACGGAAAGAAGATTTAGGGCTGTAAGGAAAATGCTGCCAAATGCCCTCTGCGCTCACTGAAAGCATGCTGTTTCACCAGCACTGGCTGTTACATATGATGCATACCTGATCTGCAGGCCAAGCATTTACACTCAAATGTGATAGAGAAAAAGTTATACAGAGAAATACAATTGGCCCCCTTTTTTTTTTTTTTTTTTGTCTTTTTTTTCTTCATGGGGGTGTGTAGGGCAGGTCTTTTTAATTCTTTGCTTCTTTATTTAGCAGGAATGCCCAGTTTACCCTTTGCAGGTTTTTACTTAGGACCTCAGTGGAATTTAATTTTGATTTTACATTTTAAAAGAATCTCAAAGTCAAGCGCATTGTGTCAGCACCTACGTGTTGCCCAGCAACTACTTAAACAGGCAGTTAAGGAAGTGGCAGCTTCAATGCAGCCATTTTATGCCCAGTGGGGTACTTAGCCGTGCAGATTCAGTGAGCTATAGCAATGAACTGTGGTCATCTGATGGAAAATTCCCTCTAACCTTGATAATGCCTCTTCTGGCATTTCAGTGATGGTAAGCTTACCCCTTATCCGGTCGTCAGGAAACTTACAGCTTGGAGGCATGTAACGGGAGCTGAATTATGTTAGAAAATACAAGCAGGAGAAAAAGCACTTAAGGAAAAATATTCACAAAGTAGTAATAAAAGGCATGTGGCCTGCAAATTTCTGTGTCCATCTTGTCTTTCTTTTGCTCAGGAATGCAGGTTTCCAGGTTATAATTTGAAGGCCTTTTGGAAAGACCTTTGCTTTTATTACATTGTTAGTGTTTCTTAGGAGAATCAAGAGTGTTGACAGTTTTTGCATCTGCTTTCTGCATTCAGATGCAATTTACCTTGCATCTGAATTAGGATACATGTGTGTTGGTCTGTTGTACCAAAGGTTTTGGTGAATGTTATTTGAAGAGCAGTTTCTGAGTTGAAATGATCCTGGCATAAAGCTACACTGTGAGCACCTATTTAGAGCTACCTAAAGCATTAATAATAATAATAACAATAAAGCATATTGTCATCTAGATTCTATGTGTAGCTTTTTTTATCACCCTCTCTTCTCACCCAAGAGCCAAATCATTTCACTTGACAAATAACACAGGATCTGTAGCCAAACCAGCTTACAATTTTGACTTTTCAAAACCTTGCCAAAGATGTGCAGCCCTGAGGTCTGGCCAGCCCTTGTTCATCTATGCCAGCCAAAGTTTAGGACAAGAAAATTCCAAAATAATAATTCAGGTGCCTTCACAAACCTGGCATTGCTGTGCCTGGGCATCCCACAGACTTTCGGCAGGTGGGTTCACTCTGGTGACTTGCTAACCTCTCAGCAATAAGGTGCGTAGCACGTGTTCCCTTTGCATGACACTGCGTATTTATTCACAGCTCTGTGAGATCGGCTGCAGTGCATTTTCATTCTGTGTATTGTTCTCTGGGGCTGGTGATGCCATCGCATTGTGCTGAGTTTTTAAGAGTGCGAGCAGCACTGCTGATGTGACTCCCTGGGAGCCTACTTTCCACTGGCCTGGGATAAAATTTGGTGGTTCATTCTCTGTCGGACGCACGCGCGTGCAGGGAGGCAGGCACGCCAAGAGCAATGGGGTTAGTGTAGCTGGGACACTGAAAAACTATGCAGGATTCACCCAGCTCTCTGGTGATGGATGGATACTCTAGCAATGTGCCAGCCTTCCTAACCAAACTCTGGACGCTGGTGGAAGATCCTGAAACGAACCATCTCATCTGCTGGAGTACTGTAAGTACAGCAAATATCGGGTGTCACCAAGTGCCTGCAACACCAGGAAAAACCCAGGTGCAAGGCCAAAGTACTGCATCGCACAGCAACTTCCCTTTGCTTGACAAGTGCTGGCCAGCTAACTGGGAGACTGAAAGGACTAATAGTTCATTAGGGGGCCTTTTGGATATACTTGACATTATTTATCTGCAATATTGTGGCTTTTCTGTTTCAAAGGGACAACTGGTTGGGGAGTGTTTTAAGAACAATATTTACACATTTTGCTTGAAGCATCTTAAAGGGTGTCTAATATTGAATCTTCTAAAAATCCAGACTGAGAGAGAGGTTTTTCACCTTGCTTCAATCTGCGGTTCCCTAAAATTTTCTAGAAAAGGTGCAAAGCCCTTAAAAAATTCTACTGCTGTTTTTATTATTTCACATGTGTTTCTTAGCAGCCTTTCACAAATGCCTTGGGAGAAGGCAGCAGATAAACAGCATTCAGACCTCAGGCTAAAACCTAAAGTTTAAACAGATCTCAGACCGGCACCCTAAATTACTCACATTTTGGAAGAGCTTTACTTGATTTTTCAACGAGTCTGTGTGATGATCATGGTGATGTGTGTATGTATTGTCTGTATAACTTCATAGGGATAGGTTGCTTTGCTTTGGCTTCTTACTTGTCACTGAGGCATTAATACACTAAGTGCAATCAGAGAATTAAAATGACTTATTTGTCCCCCTCGTACAGCATTTTGACACCACGTTGTGCTTTTGACCTGACTAAGACTTGCTGCAAATAATGGGATTTGTCTTCAGCAGGAAGTTATCAGATAAGTTGTGTGCACAAACTTGTTCTCCAAAATCCTTGATTTATAACAAAAGCAGATTTAAAGGGGAAAAAAATGTCTAAAGCAGCCTTTTTGTCATGTGTTTGTGTCCAGCAGGGTTTTCATTCAAAACTTGAGAGAGGATTTGAGCTGCATTGTTATCCAAGGCAAAGGTTGCTTTCTGATGTTGGTATTACGTAGCCATACCTCTGAGAACGACCAAGTTTTGGCATTGTGTGTTTTAAATAAGGACTTTCAAACTAGGAAGGATTTTCTAACGTATAAATAGTCCCCTCTCTGTTACGCTTATAATGTTGTTATTTTTGACTGCCCACCACCACCATGCTCTGCTTTCCTGCAACCTAACATAAGCTACAGCTATGTTCTTGGGAGGTTTTGGCAAGGCTTTTAGATGTCTAAGTTTCCCATGTTGCATGCTCCCATGTTTCCCATGTTCTTCCTCTTCTATCTATCAGTGTTGTTTGAGTTGAGAAATTGTGTGCATGCCTAAGATTTCTGGACATAAGCAGAACTCTTAGAAAACAGGACCTATAAGGACTTATGAACTGTTTCTTAGCATGAAGAAGAGATGGAGAGGAAATGTGGTAATAGTTTATATATACACTAAAGGCTGTTGTAAGGTGGAAAGGAAAAGTCTGCTGTCTGTGTCCATGGTAGATTGGACCAGAAGTAATTAAATGAATTTTTGAAATGGAAGATGCAGTTAGGAAGAACTCCTAGCAAATTCCTGGAGTAGCTTGCCTGGGCAGGGCATAGGGCGTCTGTCATCATGGGTCTGTCAAAAACAGTTAAGATAAGCATCTGCCAAGACTGACATGCTGCAGAGTGATTTTTGCCTTGGGCAGAGAAGTGTCTCCCAGCTTGCGCTCCCATGATATAAGACAAGCAAGGCACAGCTGCTGTGTGGGAACAAGCTGGCACATGCACGGTTCATCGGTGAACACGCAGTAACTGCAAAGTCTCTTGTGTCTGTAGGAACCCTTTCGGGTGTGCCAGCTTCTGAGAACATTGCAGTCCTGAATTCAAAGGAATGACTTCTCGAGAGAGGCCATAAGGAGATGTTCAGGTACACAAAACCCTTGTGTTTCTCATTTTACATCAGCCTGCCCAGCCTGGGACACGCAGCTGTATCCCAGAGAGAGTGAGTGGGCAGAAGCACAAGGGAAGCAGGATAAACCAGCTCTGTCCCCCGAACAGCCTTTGCAGTGTTGGGAAACCCTGGTCCCTGCTGTCATGTCTGCAAGATCAGTCTGTGGGGATAACTTCAGCTTACGGATTATTAGTGAATCTCTTAAGCACTTGACTAGCCTTTGCTTCTGCTGCATGGGGTAAAGAATGATAGGAAAGACCCTGGTGATGGTCAAAGGGCACTGTCAAGGCAAACAGTCATGTTCAGTGTTTGCAGCAGTGAACAAGGAGCAAGAAGTACAGCTGACCCAGAGTCATGTGTCTGTGGGTGCACAGGGTTAACCATCAGAGCTGACAAACAGAGCCAGAGAACAGTGGGAATTGGCACCGTTTGGTGATGGTGGCAACAAGTAGGGCAGCAGGGTTTGCCAGCTGCCTGTTTTCTGGTGGCCATGGGCAGGCTACAGGCATATACCCGCACCTCTTTAGTTGCTGAACTTTCTCGTGGTCCTAATTACACTCCCTGTTTTAGAAACTTCCAGGCAGCCCTGAGAGCACCCATGCAGCTACAGACCCTGTGATGGGTGCGTGGTGGGACCCACACACCCCTGGTATGCTCCAACTGCACACAGAGCCTGAGTGCTCGCTCTTATGAAACACTGTCCTCTGTCAAAACCCACTCTGCTGTGAAATAACCCCTGAAGCTGACACACCACTTGACTGCCGGTAATAACGCTGAACACAGCAGAAGGATGACTATGGCTGTGCTGGTCTCAGACCCCTCCCTGCCAACACTGCACAGACCCTGGTGTCTTTAGCTAGCTGTCCCTTGAAACTGGGCTGCAGCTGAATTGGTAAGTCCCAACTATCTGCTGATGTCTTGGCCCTGGCATAGGTCTCTGCATCTTGCCTGTCCCTCCGTAAAGCTGTGGAGAGCTTAGGCTGCACGGTTGGGTGCTTCCCCAGGTAGCTCTTTGCAGCTCTTTCTCTCTCCACAAGCAAAGCCAATGTGAGCGCCTGGAAGATACCGTTCTCTGCAAGTTTACAAAAATGCCATGTGTGCCCCAAACTCCATGTCCAAAATCATGAGTCTTCATTCCTCCAAATTCCTGGTGCTGCCTCCCCATCTGGAGCAGAGGTAGGATTTAAGGTGGTCCCCCTGTCACCATGTCCTGGAGACACTGATCTGTTGAGGTCAGAGATTTAGAAAATGTTGTTTCTACTTGTTGGTTACAGCTGAAAATTAATTGCTAATTTTTCTGTCCCTAAAAAGGTCACATGGATTGCTGTTTGCAAAAAGTTCCAAGGCAGCTTCAGTGCGTGGTGTCTCACAGGCCCTTTCTGCACCAGCTTAAAACTGTCCGCAGGTAGAAGGCCAGGCAGGGGAAGCAGATGGCCTGCATGTGTCTGTCTCTGCCAGCAATCCCAGGCACT